CCCATAGAGGCTCCCCTGCATAATCTCCACATGGATGTGTGGGGCCCAGCCCGCGTCCGTGGACAGGGCCACGAGCGGTACTTCCTGCTGGTCGTCGACGACTACACGCGTTACACCAAGGTCTTCCCCTTGCAGCGCAAGGGGGAGGTCCCTGATGTTTTGATCCCCTCGATCCGCACTGTTCGTCTCCAGCTCCGCGAGCCGTTCCAGTTGGAATTTCCTGTCCTGCGTCTGCACTCTGACAGAGGTGGTGAGTTCTCCTCAAACCTCTTGGCAGCCTACTGTGCAGAGCACGGCATTCGCTATGCGTTCACGCTTCCGGCCTCTCCGCAGCAGAATGGGGTTGCTGAGCGCCGCAATTGGCTTCGTCGTGGAGGTCGCTCGTACCTCCATGATCCATGCGGCTGCCCCCCATTTTCTGTGGCCGTTTGCGGTCCGGTACGCCGCGCATCAGCTCAACCTCTGGAACCGTGTCTCCTTGCCGGAGACCTCGCCCACACTGCTGTGGACGAGGAAGGTTGGCGATGCGTCGCGTTTCCGGGTCTAGGGTGCTTGTGCCTTTGTCCACGATACCACCGCGGACAAGCTCTCCGTCCGCGTCGTTCCCTGTGTCTTCCTTGGCTTTGCCCCTGACGCGCCTGGTTGGCAGTTTTACCATCCCACCTCGCGCCGTGTCTTCCCCTCTCAGGACGTCACATTCGACGAGTCGGTTCCCTTTTACCGTCTCTTCCCCTACCGCACTGCCCCTCCCCCCCCTGCGCCGCTCTTCCTCGCTCCAGGTGCTCCCCAAGTAGACCCCCTCCCCGCTCCCGGTCCTGCTCCTTCAAGTGTGTCTCAGGTAGACCCTCCTCCCTTAAGTGCGCCGGTTGAGGTCACTGGCTACTCAGGTCCTGCTACAGGTGGTCCTGCTCGGGGTGCTGCATCTGGGGGTGCTGAGCCTGGGGGTGCGGAGCCTGGGGGTGCTGAGCCTGGGGGTGCGGAGCCTGGAGGTGCTGAGCCTGGGCGTGAGGAGTCTGGGGGTGCTGAGCCTGGGGGTACTGAGTCTGGGGGTGCTGCACCTGGGGGCGCTGAGGCGTCTGATGAGCAGTCTCCCTGGAGCGGCCGTCTCCGTAGTCGCTCCGCTGGTGCCTCGCCGCTGCACTCTCGTCGTCGCCTCCCTCTTTCCCCACAGCAGCTGCGTGAGTGGTACGTTGGCTGTAAGGGTCGCGCTGCTCGAGCTAGGGGCCCTGCTCTGGGAGGCGCTGGAGCTGGTGACTCTGCTATTGGAGTTGTTTCTGCTGGAGGTTCTAGAGCTGCTGAGGGTGCTGGAGCTGGAGGTTCTGGAGCTGCTGGAGGTGCTGGCGCTGGTGGCGCTGGAGCTGGAGGTTCTAGAGCTGCTGAGGGTGCTGGTGCTGGAGGTTCTGGAGCTGCCGCGAGTGCTGGCGCTGGAGGTTCTGGAGCTGTTGCGGGTGCTGGCACTGAGGGTTCTGAGTCTGCTTTTGTGCGGTCTCCTTGGAGTAGCCGCCTTCATCCGCATGTGCCTCTCACCTCACAGCAGCGTCATGACTGGTACGGTCGTCGTCAGGGTCGCGCTTCTGGAGCTTGGGGCTCTGCCGCTGGAGGTACTTCTACTGACGTCGCTGGAGCTGGGAGTGGTGCTGGTCCCGAAGGTGCTCGTCCTAGAGGTACTGGAGCTACTGGGGCTGGAGGTGCTGAGCCTGAGGGTGCTACTGCTGGAGACACTGAGGCTGGAGACCCTTGGACTGGAGGTGCCGGTTCTGGGGGTGCTGCTGCTGGTGGAGCTGGTCCTGGAGGAGCTGGAGCTGAGGGATCTGGAGCTGCTGGAGGTGCTGGAGCTGCTGGGGGTGCTGGAGCTGCTGGTGCTGGTGGCACTACACAACCGCGCCTGTTCTTTGCTCCATCGTCTCCACCGTCTGACTCTGTGCTTCGCCAGGTTCTTAGTCTTCCTTCGTCTACTGGTCTTCCGTTACAGCCTGGCTCACTGCTGCCTGCTCCTTCTCCTTACACTGAGCAGACAGAGGGTTAAACTAAGCATCGTGAGCTTGCGTCGCGTCCTTTCTCGCCTGTCCGTTTTGGTAGTTCCAGTCGTTGTGTTCCTCGTTCGCGTCAGCCGGCTGTCCCCGGCAACCACCTCGTAGTTCGTCGTCCTTCCTCTCCTCCGCAGCGTGTTCCCCTGCCGTCCCCTCCTGCGTCTTTTCTGCCTACCGTACCTGAGCCTGAGTCTGACCGCACCCGTGCTGCTCACCCTACTATCACGCGTCTACAAGCCACAGTTGTCACTGACCGGTTTTTTGAGTTTGCTGATGCGTCTACCTTTGTTGCTGAGCTTATTGACTTTGCTGCTCGCTGTCGTCTAGACTACGCCGCTAGTATTGTTGCTGAGTCTGAGTCTGTCTGTCCTCCGTCCGTCGCAGGTGAGTGTGCTCTTGGCACGGACGTCCTTGAGGACAGGCAAGAGGACCTTAAGTGTCTTGCAGACGCTGCGCCTCATCTCGTGTCCATGCTGCTTGCCCCTGAGGGAGACCCGGATGCTCCAGACATCCCGACCCCGCGCTCTTACGCTGAGGCGATTGCGGGTGAGTACTCCTCTCAGTGGCAAACAGCCATGGACGCAGAGATGGCATCCTGGAAGTCCACGGGCACCTACGGCAACGAGGTTCCTCCTCCTTGGGCGAACATCGTCACTGGCATGTGGATTTTCAGGGTGAAGCGGCCACCAGGTTCTCTGCCCGTCTGTAAGGCTCGTTACGTTGCTCGAGGTTTCAGTCAGCGAGAGGGAGTTGACTTCTTCCAGACCTTCTCCCCCACCCCAAAGATGACCACTCTTCAGGTGCCACTGCACGTTGCCGCTAAGCGTGACTACGAGCTTCACTCTCTTGACTTCAGCACAGCTTTCTTACAGGGCAGCCTACACGAGGAGATCTGGCTGCGCCGCCCTCCTAGTACCCAGTGGAGCCTCCAGCGGCCAGTCTACGGTCTGCGCCAGGCGCCACGTGAGTGGCACGACACACTGAGGACGACGCTTGCGACTCTTGGGTTCGCGCCTTCTACTGCTGACCCGTCGCTGTTTCTGCGCACCGACACTTCGCTCCCGCCGTTCTACATCATCGTGTACGTCGACGACTTGGTCTTTGCCACTACCAACACTGAGGCTCTCGCCCTGGTGAAGTCGTAGCTGCAGAAGAGACACACGTGCACAGACCTGGGTGAGCTGCGCAGCTACCTTGGGTTGCAGATCTCCCGGGATAGAGCACGCCGCACCATCACACTGACTTAGTCACACATGGTGCAGCAGGTCCTTCAGCGCTTCGGCTTTACCTAGTCCTCGCCACAGCACACTCCTCTGGCTACAGGCCACTCACTCTCAGCTCCACCTTCGGACGAGTCCGTAGAGTCGAGTGGTCCTTACCCAGAGCTAGTGGGCAGCCTCATGTACCTGATGACCTGCACTCGTCCTGACCTTGCGTACCCTCTTGGCCTTCTGTCTTGTTACGTGGCTCCTGGTAGGCACCGACCAGAGCACATGGCTGTTGCTAAGAGGGTACTGCGCTACTTGTGCAGTACATCGGGCATGGGGCTCGTGCTTGGAGGGCGGAGCCCAGTTGTCCTCATTGGGCACTTGGACGCTTCTTGGGTTGACGACCTGGCTACGCAGCGGTCGTCACAGGGCTACACCTTCAGCCTTAGCTCTGGCTCTGTTTCTTGGCGGTCTACATGCTCGTTTTCTGTTCTCGGCTCCAGTTGTGAGGCTGAGATCTACGCCACAGCCATGGCTGCACAGGAGATACGCTGGCTCACCTACCTGCTGACCGACCTGGGAGAGCGACCTCGTTCTCCTCCAGTGCTGTACGTAGACAACAAGGCCGCCATTGCGTTGTGTCAGGAGCACAAACTGGAGCACAGAACGAAGCACATCGCTCTGCGTTACTTCCTGGCTCGAGAGTTGCAGCAGTGAGGTCAGGTTCGTCTTGCTCACGTGGCCACACGGGCCAACACTTCTGATATATTCACCAAGGCACTTCCGTCTGGTGATCATCAGCGTTTCTGCACTTTGTTAGGCCTTGTGCCCACTTTTTCTCACTTGCTGTAGATTTTGTTTGTATTGTGATCTATATACCTACTTGCTTGCTCTGCTAGGTAGAGATCACTGTGCTGCTGTTGTTGCATATATACCTCTGCATGTGAACTGGCCTTGTGGCCCTTTGCTTGTGCTCAGTGTGTGTGGTGACTTTGTGATCCACCCTGAGCTTGCTTTGCTTCTCTTGACTGGTCTTATGACCCCTTGCTCTCCCCCACTTTGCCTTTGGGGGTGTGTCAAATGATATATCTGCTATATATGTTTAGGCTGTAGTGGGGTAGCCAATATGGGCTACAGCCCCTTTTAGGGTTTCATATTTGTACCCATCTCTTTCATAGTTCACCCATTTTCCTGCTGCTAGATTCTAACAGCCCGGGGCGCGCAACTGAAAGAACAGCAGCGAAAGCGAACGGTGGGCCCATTGAGGAGATTAAACTGTAACAGGCCAGGATCTTACGTGCTCTGATAGCATGTCAAAATATGTTCATAATTTAGGACAAGGAACCTAGGGTTTAGGCTAGCAAGAGAGTGTCAAGAGAGATGCCATAGCTGAAGAGGGCTTCACTATAGAACTGCAAGTATAAATAGATGAGAAACATGCAAGGAGTGGTGCACCACCAAACAGGACAGCTATGTAACTACACTACTGCTAGAACTACATGCACTTATCAATGTTTTATTCCCAGGAAGGCTGATTATCAACGTCCCTAAAATTGAATCTGGGGGGCTGGTAAGAATGCACCTTTCACGGACCACGTGCATTTCAGAAGCTCCAGAATGGCTATCATTAGGCGCATACATAACTTCACACATTGCACATAGAGGGCAATCGGCACGCATGGCAGGGGCTGTAATGAGGGCGAGCACAGACAGACGGCAACAAGGCAAGTGGGCGGCAGGGGCCGTGAGCAAGTGGGGGGCTCTAGAGCGGGTACAGGACGAGGTGGCCGAAGTGAGCAGCGCCGGGCGAGGAGCCGCGGAAGAGGTGAGGGCGATGCCCCGTGGAATTCTCAAAGCGCCGACATACGTCGTCCACCGCTGCCTGCGCCGCTGCCGTGCTGTCCCCCAGCACACACACCGTGCCGCCACTGCCTCCCCCCGTTATCTTGGCGCCCCACAGTGGTCCCTGTGGCCATGGTGCACCGCGGGGAGATGGCACAGGGAGGGTCAGGTATTGGGAGGAATGCATTGGGAGAAAAGCCACCATGTGAAAAATCAGGTGGGGCTTCCTAGAAACAGCTCCTTTTTTCTGTAATTTGTAATCAACCCATGGGCACGACTCACATGCGGGCCCATGTGTGTGCGAGCGAGGGCGACTATGAGGTCCGTGGCAGGCGACCCCAGCCCACACGCCGTGTAGCTCGCATGGCTCTGCCATGGCACGGGTGCATCACACACACTCCCCATGGCGTCAAAGGGGACAGAGGGACGCGTGGAGGGAGCAAGGCGGAAAACTGCCATGAGCAGGGACTTGATGGGAGGGGGCAGAAGGGATGCTGGCATGATACATGAGGGTGAGGGAAGCGTGGTGATTCTAGAGAGTGTGGCATGTGGGGGGGGAGCATGGAGTGGCAACAGAGATTGGTGCAGAGAAGCAGCTATGGGCAGCGTACCTGCATCATCAGCTCCCCCAGCAACGCCATCTGCTCAAGCCTCCCTCCGCCTGACACAGCGCCCCCACCCTCATCCGCCCCCTCATCCCCTTCGCCCTCTACACCTTTCCCCTGAACCTCTTTCCCCCCCTCCTTGTGCTCCACGTGTGTGAGCAGCAGGGAGCGGAAGCAGCGTGTGCGGAAGTGGTCCATGACGGGGTGGCGAGAGGCGGGCCGCACAGGGTAGTGCAGATCAGCAGCCACCGTGGTGGCGGGGTCGCCGTGGGACGCGTGGCGGGCGAGGAAGGCGCTGCCGTGCATGGTGGCGGGCAGTATGGGCTCCAGTAGGGGCAGGCTGGCATGGCCAGGTGAGTTGGGATGTGGGTTGGGGTGACAGGGAGAAAGGGAGGGGGGTGAGAAGGAGGGGGGAAAGAGTGTAGGCGGAGGAGGAGGGGAGGGTGGCAGGGGGGTCGGGGAGTGTGGAAGAGAAGGGTGAGGAGAGTAAGGGCGAGGGGCAGGTTGTGTGATACCCTGACGATGAAGTTGGGTGTGTGGAGCACCTGAAAGATCCAGCTGGAAAATCACCTTCTTGACCACCTAACCAACCACCTGATGACCGGCCTGAGCAGTCACCTGTGCGGGTCCAGTTCACAGAGGCATGAAAGCATCACCTGTGCGGGTCCAGTTCACAGAGGCATGAAAGCATCACCTGTGCGGGTCCAGTTCACAGAGGCATGAAAGCATCACCTGTGCGGGTCCAGTTCACAGAGGCATGAAAGCGGCTGCGTTACTGCTGGTGCCAGATCATGCGGTGCTGCACTCACGCTCGTCTGGTGGCATGGGCACATGCGGTGAGACACACACATGCATGCACATATGCACCACACACACGCAAGCATGCACAGGCATGGAGAAGGGAGCAGCGTTCAATGGTAGCATGCACGTGACGTGATCACAGCAGGCCCCAGGTGGAAAGAGCACAGGCGTGCGCATCCATGAAGTGGTAAGGAAAGGGTGTGCCCGGTGCCTGTCACGGCGAGCATGCAAGCATCTTCTGAGCCCCGCCTGTCACGACGTGCATGCAAGCATCTTCTGAGCCCCGCCTGTCACGACGTGCATGCAAGCATCTTCTGAGCCCCGCCTGTCACGACGTGCATGCAAGCATCTTCTGAGCCCCGCCTGTCACGACGTGCATGCAAGCATCTTCTGAGCCCCGCCTGTCACGACGTGCATGCAAGCATCTTCTGAGCCTCGCCTGTCACCCGGCCTGACCCGCACATGGGGTTGCCTTGCTACGTCCTGCCATGAGAGCATGGGAGCGCGTGGCTGAAGCGGGAGCAGAGCGGGTGTGCACGCATGCTTTTGGAACGGCAGGAGAGAGGCGGGCACAGATCTGCCCTGCCCAGCACAGCACCGCACAGCACACACACACTTACAGAAGCTTCACTGCTTTCTCCACTAGCGACGTTGATAAGCGTGAGTCCCATGAATGCCGCGGCCCTCACCCCGCCGTACCCCGCGCCGCCCACGCTGTGGCGCGCGCCCGAGTCGATGCCCCACAGCGCCACGTGGGGGGGCAGCGCCAGGCAGCCCTGCACGCTGGCGGGGCGGCACAGCAGCGCCAGCAGCGAGGCGGGGCGCGCGAGCGTGACGGCCATCTGATCCATGATGCCGCAGGGGGCGCCCACCACCCTGTTCTCCACCTGGTGGAGGGGCAGGGGGCAGGGGCCAGGGGACAGGGGGCAGGGGGCAGGGGGCAGGGGGTAGGGGGCAGGGGGCAGGGGGCAGGGGGCAGGGGGTAGGGGGCAGGGGGCAGGGGGCAGGGGGCAGGGGGCAGGGGGTAGGGGGCAGGGGGCAGGGGGCAGGGGGCAGGGGGCAGGGGGCAGGGGGCAGGGGGCAGGGGGCAGGGGGCAGGGGGTAGGGGGCAGGGGGCAGGGGGCAGGGGGCAGGGGGTAGGGGGTAGGGGGTAGGGGGTAGGGGGCAGGGGGTAGGGGGTAGGGGGTAGGGGGCAGGGGGCAGTGGGCAGGGGGTAGGGGGTAGGGGGTAGGTGGGTGGATGTGCAGGAGCGGGAGTGGAGAAAGAGATGTGTGGGCTGTGCGAGTTGCTGGTGCGCTTTGACAGGCTGTGTTATGTGACCTTGTGCTGTGACCTTGAGCTGTGACCTTGAGCTGTGACCTTGAGCTGTGACCTTGAGCTGTGACCTTGAGCTGTGACCTTGAGCTGTGACCTTGAGCTGTGACCTTGAGCTGTGACCTTGAGCTGTGACCTTGTGCTGTGACCTTGAGCTGTGACCTTGAGCTGTGACCTTGAGCTGTGACCTTGAGCTGTGACCTTGAGCTGTGACCTTGAGCTGTGACCTTGAGCTGTGACCTTGAGCTGTGACCTTGTGCTGTGACCTTGTGCGGTGAGCGAGCGTGAGTGTGGAATGGGAAAGGGGCAAGCGCAGTGCAGAAGGAGAGGGAGCAGAGGGGCATGGCAGGGGGCGTACCATCTGGCACATGCGGGCGAGGTGCCAGGGGGGCACGTGCATGCCCAGGGCGTGCATGAGAGCCATCATGCTCGCCACCTCCACCGCTGCTGACGATGCCACGCCCACGCCCTCCGGCACCTCTGATGCCACCACCACCGCCACCCCCTGCACTCTGCCCAACGCCCCGCTCTCGCCCTGCGCGCCCCCCCCCCCCCATCCACGCCTGGCGGAACTCCGCCTCTCTCTCCCTCGCCAGCACCACCAGCGCCCCCGCCACATATGCCGCCCACCGTGTCCCCCCTGCCCCTCCCCCTCCCCCCTGCTCTGCTGCACCACTCTCCTCGGCCCCCTCCCTGCTACCCCCGCCCCCCCCTCCGCCTTCATCTCCCGACTCTCTCGCCTGTGCTGCCCCTTCCTCCCCCTCATCGCCCGCCGCTGGCCCTCCTGCCAGCAGCGCATGGGCGGAGGCATAGTCGAGGGCGCAGGGGGCGGAGTGGGGGGGCGAGGCGTAGAGGGCGGGGAGCAGGCGGGCGAGGGGCAGGGAGACAGAGGGCACACGGTGGTTGGCGGCGGCGGAGAGGGAGACGATGCGCAGTGACGGGGGAGGCCCAGGGGACGTGGGAGGGGCGGAGGGGGCGGAAGGGGGTGCGCGGATGACCTGAATGGCCACGTGGCACGCCTCTGCTGTTGGCATCTGGTGGGGGGTTGGAAGGGAGGGAAGGGGAGGGGAGGGGATTGAGAGATACATGATACGGGAGAGGTAAGCCAGACAGTACCACAAGACATGGACGCACCTCACACCCACCTGAGGTGCAACTGAGGCACACCTGAGGCCCACCAGGGGCGCACCTGAAGCACACCTGAGGCCCGCCTGAGGCGCACCTGAGGTCCACCTGAGGCCCACCTGAGGTCCACCTGAGGCGCACCTAAGGCGCACCTGAAGCACGAGCGAGCCGGAGTAGTCAGCAATGCCGCCCATCACATCCAGGCGCCCCGGCGCTCTGGTTACCACCAGCGGCTTCGACCAATCAAAGAGCTCCGCCGCCAGCGCCAGCTCGTGGCGCTCGCTGTCGTTGCTCGTGCCGCCGCCGGGCGGCGTGACTGCGCGGCGGGGGGCCGCGGAGGAAGGGGAATGGGGGAGGGAAGGGGAGGGAATGAGGGGGAATGGGGGAGGGGCGGGGAGAGCCCAAGGGAAGGGAAGGCACGGCTGAAGGGGCAGGCGCAGCGAGGGGAACGGGGGCGGCGGCGGGAAGGAGAGCGCGAGGGAAGGGGAGGGGAGTGTGGAGGGCGAGCGAAAGCGGCGCCCGGATGCCAATGGATCTTTTCCTCCCGCCACGCCACAGCGCGCCACGCACCGCCGGCTCGGAGCGCGTCGAGCAGCGCGAGGAAGCGCTTCGTGTCGGGCAGGCCGCGGTCATCGCCCTCCACGCGCATGGCGCCGCGGGGCATCTATGCGATGCGAGAGGGGAACACAGGAATCGCGCTGTCGTACGCGCCTAACCCGCACTTGGTGCAACGTGGCGGTTAGCGGCTAGCGGATGCGGGTTGGCGGATGATGGTGCGGGGCAAGCAAATGGGTGACCGTGGTCGCGATGCCCCTCGCCCCTCGCGCGCACTCGCGTTGAAAGTGTCCTATCACTTCGCATTCCGACATTTTCAGCGACAGGTGAGTTGTGCACATACTGTACAACAGCGTCTTCGTTAGGGTGCATTGTCTGAAACATGCTGACTTCTATTTTTGTACAACCCTGCACCTCCACCCAATGTAATATGGAAGTTCGTTGCTTGTGCTAGTACTGAATGGAAAGCATAGAGCTGAAAGATTTAGCAATGGAGGCTGACATTACATGCGAGCATGAGTGGCACTCAACAGCGTGACATGGCCAAATGGCTTCTCAGAGTGTCATAGTTTGGTGCAGAGGTGTGGATGGTGAGAGATAGTGTCAGACTGTCAAGAGAGGTAGTTAGAACTTGGAGACATGGAAACCCTAGGAGCTAGGAAAGAGAGGTGTTTGGCCAAATAAGGGGTTTGCAATATGAGAGAGTTACAAGATATAGGAAAGGTGGACAAAAGGGGATATACCACCAAGGCCCAACACTACTAGCTAAAACATGCAATTATATAAGAATACACCATATTCTAACACAGACATTATAGTCTTAGTAACGTGTGTCATATGGGGTGCAATAGTTAGGGTTAGGTTCATGTACCCCAACCAACCTTAGTCAACACATTCTTCTATTCTTGACATGGTATCACCTAGGTTATGATCTTGTGGGATCCAGTTCCTCTCGTTCACATCCGTAGCGCCCGAGCCTGTCCCGTACCCTAGTGCACGTTATGCCCCAAGCGCCTATCGCGCTCGTCTCTCTCGTGCCCTAGCGCCCACTGCGCCTGCCATCGCCTCAACCCTACTGTCCCGTCCCGTCCCGTCCCCCCCTGCTGTCCCGTCCCGTCCCCCCCTGCTGTCCCGTCCCCCCCTGCTGTCCCGTCCCGTCCCATCTCCCCTGCTGTCCCGTCCCGTCCCGTCCCGTACCCCCTGCTGTCCCGTCCCGTCCTGTCGTCCCTGCTGTCCCGTCGTGTTGCCCCCTGCTGTCCGGTCGCGTCACGCCTATCCATGCTGTCCCGTCGCGTCGCGCCTGTTTCTGCTGTCCCGTCGCGTCGCGCTGTCGTGCCACGTCGCACCGTCTGTCCCATCCCGTCCAATCCGCGTCGCGCTTCCCGTCCCGTCCCGTCTCCGTACGCCCTGCCCGTCCGCCGCGCCCTGTGCGCCCTGCCTGCCCGTCGCGTCCCCTCTGCGCCCTGCCCGTTCGTCATGCCCCGTACGCCCAGCCCGTCCGTCGCACCCCTGCTGCGCCCTGCCCATCCGTCGCGCCCCCGCTGTGCCCTGCTCGTCAGTCGTGCCCCGTGGGCCCTACCCGTCCGTGGCGCCCCGTGCGCCCTACCCGTCCGTCGCGCCCCGTGCGCTCTGCCCGTCCACGCCTGTCGCGCCCATCCCTGCTAGTCGCGTCCTGTCCGTTGCGCCGCACTGTCTGTCACGCTCTATGCAGGCCCTCCAGGCGTTTAGGGTTTCGATAACAGCAGTTCCCACCCCTTCGCTACCGCTACGGCGAACCTTAGGGTTCTGCGCTCTGACGCCGAGGGTAGGCCACTTGAGTTCTCCATCTGGCTCCTGCGTGCGCGCCGCCTGTTAGAGAGTCAGGTTCAGGCAGATGAGTCTCTGTGGGCGCACGCTTCTGGCGACCTTCCTAAGCCCGATGATCCTGCACCCTTAGGCACTAACCCTAGCGATGCAGACAGAGATCAATATGCCCGCTAGCGTGCTGACCTCACAGCGTGGAATTTGCATGACGCTGCTGCTTGCATCGCCCTTAGCAGCCTCCTCCCTGAGTCTGAGGAGGCACACTTCACTCAGGTTCGCACGGCTACTGAGTTCCTGACTGCGATCAAGGCCGGCTACACTACTCCCACCACCGTCTCTCTTGGTCGTCTGTTCCTCCCGTTCTTGTTTCCTGACCTCGCCTCGTTTGAGCGCTCTGCTGACTTAATTGCTCACCTGCGCTCGCTCGATTCCAGCTACCGTGCTGCCTGCAATGACGAACAGCTTGCACTGCTCCCTCCCCCTATGGCGATTACTATCTATTTCATTGCCACTAGCTTCCTTGACCGCCTTGCCTCGGTTCGTGAGGCGCTTATTCTGAAGCACCCTAGCGAGCTCACTATCGAGGTCCTTGAGTCTGCCCTCAAGGACGTCGAGAGCAACCTCTGCTCGGTTGCTGTGCCCCCTCCACTACTTCACGGGTGCACTATCCTTTAGCTGCCCAACTTTAATGCCTCCCTTGCCACTGCCGCTACTAACGTGATCGCAGCTGCTGTTACGACTTCTTCGCGGTCTAGGGTTAGGAGCGGCAGGAGGGGCGGTTAGGGTGCGGGCACAGGCGGCGAAGGTGGTGGAGGTGGTGTAGCGAGTGGAGGTGGCGGGAGTACAGAGGTTGGAGGAGCGTCTTGTGCAGCGGCTAGTGACTTCCCTACTACAGTTGTTGGAGGCGACACTCGGGTTCGTCAGGCACCAACTGGTCCACCAGCTGGAGCGGCGACTTGGCACCTGACTCAGCAACAGCAACAGCAGCAGCCACTCCTTTGTCAATAGCCACAGCAGCAGCAGAGGAAGCAGCAGGCTCCGGGGAAGGGGTCTGGACCGTGTCACCTGTTGCGTGGTGCCGTCCACCCTCCGTGCACCTATCTCGTTCAGACAGGTACTCGCCGAGGCTCCCCTGTGGCCACACCCACCCACCAGGTCAGTGCTTTGCTCAGCTCACTGACACACTTCGTGGCCTACGGGGTTGACAGCCCTGCCCCTGACTGGCTTCCCCTTGTTCAGCGATACGGCCCAGCTCTGTGGGGCATGTCGGCTTCTCAGTTGCTTGATCTCTTAGGAACTCCTCATGCTATGTATGCTGTTGTTGACTCTAGTGCTTCTGACTCTGTTAACTCGAGTGTTGTTAGCTTAGATGCTTGTGTTGCTGAGGTGCCTACTGCTAGTGTAGGTACTTGTGTAGACACTAGTCCAGTAGCTGCTTTGGAGGACACTTCGCTGTCGTTCACTCTGGACTCTGGAGCTTCGCACTGTTTCTTCCGCGACCACACGATGCTTACTCCGCTTCTTCCGCCGGTCTCTATAGCACTGGCTGATCCCACTTCGGGACTAGTCACTGCTTGCTACACTACTACACTTCCCTCGGGTTTCCTGACAAGCTTCCACGTCCCCTCGTTCTCCAAGAACTTGGTGGATGTGAGGCCGCTCGTGAGTAGTCACGTGGGTGTGTGGATTGAGCCTTCTGGTGAGACTACGATTTGTGTCGACGGGGACACGTACGCGCCTCTGGCCACCTTTACTGCTGAGCCGGGCTCTGGTCTCTACACACTTCACACAGGCCCTCGGCAGCACCACCAACAGCTTCAGCAGCCACGGCAGCAGCAGTAGCAGCAGCTACTGCCCCTAACCACTGTCACTGCCCCTCGTCAGGTTCCCCCGTCTCACCAGTTCGCCGCTTCTCACTAGGTAGCTCTGTCTGGTCAGGTTCCCGTGTCAGGTCTAGTTGCTACGTCTTGCTCCTGCCGGTCACTTGCCCACCCCACCGTTCTCTAGCACTACTGGATGGGGCACCCGTCCATTCCTCACCTGCGTGCTAGTCAACGTCTTGTCTTAGGCCTCCTGCGAGTCCTGCCATCGCTGTCGCCTTCGCTTGCACCACCTTGCGGTCCCTGCGTCGAGGGTCGGCTGTGCGCCACCCCTCACTCGTCATCGCTTCGTCTAGCCACCGAGCCCTTCGAGACTCTCCACTTGGACGTCTGGTGCTGCGTCGCGGTTTCGTGTCTGGGGCTGCTTGGCGCTTTTTCGCGACACCTCCGCAGATAAGCTCCCCCCTCGCGCCCTTCCTAGTGTCTTCCTTGGTTTTCTCGTGGACTCCTCTGACTTTACCTTTTATCACCCTCCCCTTCACCGGTTCTTTGACTCCCGCGATGTTCGTTTTGTCAAGTGAGTCCCCTACTACACCCTGTACCCGTGTCAAGGTCTTTTGGTTCCTCCTCCCCCTCTCTTCCTGACTCCCGCCCCCCCTCCTGCCCCTCCGGTACAGCCCCCCCCCCCCCCCCCTTGGTCCAGCCCCGTCAGGTGTGTCACACGCTACCCCTCCCCTCTAGGTAGCCCCTCCGGTGTCATCCCCTTCCCCACAGTCATCCTCACAGCCTACTGCAGACCCTGCGGGAGGAGGTGCTCGTATCAAGGACTCTGGGGGTCCTACCTCTGGAGGGGTTGGAGGTGGAGCTGAGAGTGTGCCTCCACGAGGTTCTGGTGCCGGGGGTGCTGGCGTTGGAGCTGAGCCCGAGTCTGCAGGAGGTTCTAGTCTTCAGGGAGTTGGTGTTCATCGCGCTGTCCCAGGGGGTGCTACGACTGGGGGTGTGGGTGCGCCCCCTACGGGACCGGGAGAGTCTGGGACTGGCCATGTTGCTGCAGGTGGTGCTGGCTCTGGGGGTGGTGCGACTGGCTCTTTAGAGAGCGGTCCTGGGGCTACCACCGCTCTGAACATTACTCATCCCCCCCACCCCTACCCGACCCGGCATCAGGCCCATGTTCGCCAAGCCCGTGAGGAGCAGCTGGAGTTGGAGCGAGAGGAGAGAGAGTTGGAGCGGCAGCAGTTGGAGCGGCAGTTGCTGGAGCTACAGCAGCTGGAGGAGCAGTAGCAGCAGCCGGAGTAGGAGCGGCCGCAGCAGCAACCGCAGCAGCAGCCGCCACAGCTGGAGGAGCTCCTCCTCCTTTCTCTGATCTTCGGACCCTTGGTCTCCCCTCTCCTTCTCCTCCCTCCTCCCCCTCTCCTCCCGTCTCCGGTTCTCCGCTTCCTCCTCCTGACCCCTCCCTAGCTGTTTTCCCTCCTTCTCTACCTCTGTT